CCATAGTTGAGATATGGATAGATAAGGGAGTAATAGAGAGTCACCAGGGCAGGGCGTGGTACATAATATCTGATCTTAGAAAGAATGCCAACAGTTTTTGAAACTTTTTTTGATATATTTAGAATGTGTCCCTGGAAATTCAGCTTGTGGTCAATGAGAATGCCAAGGAATTTGCCATCTAATTTGTCTTAAATATAAAAATCCAGGTTGGAAAAAATCTGGGGAAATGGAGGGATCTTAGAGAAGCCACCGGCATCCCATCCTCATCGAGGCCACTATAGTTTGTTTGGGGTCCCTCGGGTAAATTCAGGTAAAATACTCCTATCTACCCCCTCTCCTACCGTCTCTACTTTTTCTCCCCAACATCCTCCTGCCCCTCTCTCCCCCATCTTGCCTCTCCACCTCTCCACTTTTCTCACTTTCTCTTTCTCTCTCTTCAAACATCCCTCCTATCTCTCTCCTTCCCTCTCTTCAAACATGCACCCTCCCCCTCGTTCTACTCGTTCAGAAAAATGGTTTAATGAAGAACTGAAATAAGTCTGTGGACAACACAAGCAACACAGTATTTCAGACTTCATGAAAATCACATTGGGGGATGGGTTGGGTTACATGCCAATATATTTTTTTTAAATATGGCATTAGAGTCGACCCCCTAACTGACCTATGACATTCTCATACCCCACATGCTTCATGTTTGAAAGTTGTGCAGGGTTAGCCCCAAGCATCTGGCCTCCAACCTTGGACAGACAAACACACACTCGTAGAAATAGATGGGTGAAAAGGCATCTTCTGTTTCATGTCCTTCATTGTGGCTTGAAGCTGTTGGCCTTTTAAAGAAGTGGTTTGCATTAATATTCTTCAATTTGTTCAGTACAGTGTTTTAAAAGTCTCGATGAGATTAGCCTTATCTCGTCTGGGTTGCAGTGTTGTTAGTCCATTGGCCCTCAACCATGACGAGTACGAGAGTCGACTTCATTCTGGAATGATTTATGTCACTCGGTGTTGAACTTTCTCCATTGCAGATGTTCCCTTTTGAGAGTGAGATATTCGTGCTTGAATACAGTAGTCCAAATGGGGGGCTTGCTAGAGAGTTGTACATTTAAATAACACTTTTCATGGAAGTCAGAGGTTCGCTTGACTATTCCTAGGACTTGGTTGAATTTTTTTTTTCTGTCGCCTTCACTTGTGCAATTTTCAGTGACTGGGGGATTCTGGCTCCTGTGCGGTATTCATCAATTTACTGCATGGTAGTCGTTTTTGTGGTTATATTAAAAAGCCTTTGCCAGTCTTTTAACCATCTTCTGAATTCATGTATATCTCCTTATAAAGCTTCAATGTCATTTTCCCTTCCTACTTTACCATAGTTCTTAGTAATCCCTGCAAATATCATGACGTGGTTTGTAATATTCTCATCTATGTCATTGATGTATACGACGACAAGGGTTGGCCCTGACGTGGAACCCATGTGGTACCCCACCTTCCACATTATTATTATTATATAATAATAAGTTATGGTGTCTTAGACAATGATGTCCACAGAGCACTAGTGCAAGAACTAATTATCATTATGCCACATTAAGCACATACACCATTTAAGATGTCAAATCACAACATAATGAAATAATAACATTGCAATACTGGCAGGCGAGAAGATGCCTGACGGAGAGGCAGATGGCAGGCAACTGGCACGAGATGTAGGGCTGGAGATGCATAATCAAGGTGCAGTTGAGGTTTGGACCCCTCATCTCTTCTTTTATTGCGGTAGAAGGTTGTCCAGCAGGTGATGGTATGTTTCAGTGCATAAGGCAAGGTCAAGCTGGTCCATTGACCATTTGACCCCGAAGAAAGCAATGGCATGTGAGCTCCAGGGCTGACTAAGCTCAGGTCAGCTATGGTCATTACCCCATGTGGGGGAAAACTGATTCGTGGGTTTTATGGATTTATTTACAATTTATTCATTATATTAATTTATATAGTAATTTATTTCTTACTTTAATTTATTTATTTCATTAGCGGACTGCATGATGTTATAGTGGACTGTATGAGTTTATTCCCACAAATCGTTTCCTACGCAAGCTGGGGGGTTATATTATATGTTTATTGTCTATCAATCGAAATTATCGATTATAGACATTCACTACAATGTTACTAGGTGTTAAACTACAACCACAATGGATTAGTTAATACACGAGAAACCCTTATCTGATAAGAAGGCTTCAGCATGTTGTTATTGTAGGAAGTGAGTAGCCAGCCAGTCACGTGGTCTCCTGTGTTTGAGTGATGCCACATTAATGACTTCACTTCTCAATTCACCTTCCAACGAGATTGCACAGTAATACTTGCTATACATAAATTATTCTGTTAACATGTATATTATAATATTCTGAAATAAAGGGTTGAACTATTGCTCACCTTTCCTCGAGATCTTGAGATGATTTTGGGGCTTAGCGTCCCCGCGGCCCGGTCCTCGACCAGGCCTCCTTTTTGGTACATATCCCCAGGACACAGCCCGTAACAGCTGTCTATCTCTCAGGTACCTATTTACTGCTAGGTGAACAGGAGCATCAGAGTGAAAGAAACTATGTCAATTTGTTTCCGCCTCCGCCGGGGATCAAACCCGGAACCTTAGGACTACGAATACCGAGCGCTGTCCACTCAGCTGTCCGGCCCCCGATTGATTGATAAAGATTAAGCCACCCAAAAGGTGGCACGGGCATGAATAGCCCGTAAGTGGTGGCCCATTTGAGCCATTACCAGTATCAAGAGCTGATATTGGAGAGCTGTGGAGGTGCGACTGCACCCTGCTTGACGGCGTGATGGGAGATGATGATGAGATGTAACATAACAGTAAAATTACACTGATATAAGAGCTCTACAAATCCTCTAGTATACCATACGGATATAATGCCTTCCCTGGTACGACGGTGTCGATTTGTGCCGTCTAACTCCGCGACAATAACTTAGTTATACACAAGTACTCGGGATGACAACACGACAAGTCTCAACTGTGCAGACATGGGTTAAAATGGCGACTGCACTCTCCCACATCGGCTGTTCTCCAGATGCGTTTTATCAAGAAGTGGAAAGAGGGTTTATATTGAATCTATTTTAGTACTGATAATTAAGTTCATTCAAGGGAAATGTTTTTATGATGTTTACAATCCAGAGACTGATGATTTAAGAAGAATTTCCAATATTACTAGTTGGTAAATATATGGCTACATGGCAATTATTCTCCGTTTTCTTCCAAGGAAAATTCCACTGGAGCCTCGTTTTAGAGCACTATTTCTAGGGTTAATTTGTAAGTTGTAAATTAGCAGCAATACTATCTGCCTAATGTACTGAAAGTTAGTAAATGATGTCGGTTTTCCCGACACCCCATATGCTACAATGACTTGGTACCAAGATCAAAGGTGATGGTTTTATTCACTGACTCTAGCTGGTCCCCAGTAATTCATGAGAATCAGTAACCCAAAGCTGTATAACAAAACTGCATGCAAGCTGACATTAAACGAGTATAATCTATGGCTCAATTACAAACAACTCTGCGGGAAAGATAGATGTATGCAAAGCCAAATAACACCTTAGGGAACATTCACTTGACCATACATTGCACCCACACATTCACTCGTAATTGTAAGTGTACAGATGCTGGTAGCCAAGATAACGGGACTCGATATCATTGAAACACTGATGAACCCTCATCCTCCATTCCAAATCTCTTTCAGGTTGAAAGCCGGCTGTGAAGAAGTGAATACTAGAGGGGTTCCAGGGTGCTAAACATTTTATTACCAGCTTATCTACCTAAGTGACATTGATACCAGTACGGTATTGATACCAGTAAGCAACATCAATACCATTGCCGATTATTTAAGAAATTTCTAATTTAGAAAAAACAAAATTTGTTTACAGCCACTGTCACAATAACGTGCCTGAAAATTAGACACCCAATCCACAAATCTTAAAATAAAAGAATGAAATTTCGGTCCATCCTGGACCATCATTACGTTGTAATTGATTATGACTTGATAATAGTCCAGGATGGACCAAAACGTCTTCAATCGTTTTGGTTTCAGGTTTGTGGGTCGAGTGTCTAAGAAGCTGTTTGTTAATAATTATGTCCAAGACCTAGCACAAGCAGTCAGTTAATGCAATAACATGGAACAAAAAGGTATCTCTCAACTATCCTCTGTTCATGATGCTTCTCCCATGTACTGCAAACACAAATAATTCTTAATGGACCCTAAACACATAACCTTATTTAGGTCTAACTATGCAAAAATTCTAATATATATAATACTAGATGAGATACCCAGCATTGCCTTGATTGGCCCCAAAAGGTTATGCCAGTTAATGGTTAGGAGTCCCCAGAATGCAAGTCGTGAAAGAGAGCTGTGACGATCTCTGTCTGGAACGCGTAGGTGCGGGACTGGGGCGTCCACCTCCCGAGGCTCGTGCGTCCCAGGCTCTGCTTCAGGAGGTTGGGATCGTTCTTGCCTTTGCTGAAGTGGTTCTTCTCCGGCCCCGACCACGGCGGTCTCCGGGTTTGGAGTCCCTGTGGTTTCTTTTATCAACTTCGAGGTAAACTCCGGAGTTGGGCCCCCCAGGGCAGTTCGTTGTTGCCTTCAACCTCGTTCTCACAGTTCCTGCGACGGCACTGGAACCAATCATATTGGTGTTTGTCTTTCCATTGGAAACTTTCGGCGCCTTGAAGAGGGGGAGGGGGTGCTGTTGCATGGGTAACAGCTTCTCCTTCATATCAACCTACCCTGGCTTTGTGGCCTGGAAAGGTCACTCAGACCGACAACTAGAGCACAACTCCATAGTCTCCTGAGACTGATGGATGCCTACTACTACTAGTATATGGTATACTGTATACTACATTGAAGGAGGAGGGGGTATTATGTGTGCGGGGTCCTGGGATGGCAGATTGAAATGAAGGACAATCGCCAAAGCCAAAAATAATAGGTAATATTCTCAAAGACAATTTTTTTTTTTACAATTTTAATACAAGTACAATGTTTTCCTTACACGTTGTGTGTGTCACAAAGCCAACACGATATACCAAAACATGTAGGTAATTACTAAAATAGTTTGCTAAAAGTATATGGTGAAAACAGCAAATTATTAAAACTACTCTTATGGAAATTAACTTCACTGCAAGACTGTAATGCATTAGAAAAATGAGAACAATAAAATACGACAGCATTCCAATGGAAAAAAATATACAAAAATGGTAAAGAAAATACAGAGCACCAAGTGTCTCCCCCACATTCCATCTAGTCATTATTTATTGTAAAAATATAGAGGCTCTCGTCCTGGTGAATAAGGACTACACAGCTACACATTGATGGTGTAAGGGTTCCTCTCCGGGACACGAGGCTTCTTGTGCTCTGTTTGTTTCTCTTCGTCGTCCTTGTTCTGTTGTTGTTGTTGTTGATGTTGTTGGTGATAGCGTTGGAGCAACACTGTCAGCTCGGCCTTGATGCTCTCCTCCCCAGTCCTCCTTGGAGGGGGAGCAGAACCCCCTGGCTGTCCTCCATCATTTTCGTGTGCTTGGAAGATCTCTCGGTCGCACTCGGCTTCAGAGAGTTCCCTGGAGTCTGAGAAGGCTGACGGAGGGTGAAGTGGTCTCGGAGGAGTCGAGGAGGAGCTGTCACTGGAGGACGACTCAGTCCGTGCTCTGTACCAGGAGAGCCATATTAATTCTTCTGAGGAATTGATAAATATGTTATTATATGATGGTTTCCATACCATTGAGTGAGCTAAAAGCAACGTAAGTTACCAGCATTGGTATGGTATACTTTTCACGGACACAGGTCTCTTTACGATGGTACGCTATTGTACGCTAATAAATGTTAAGTCCTCTCTAACCTAAACCCACGTATCCTATCCCGATCTAATCTTGTTTGTAACAATATTATCAGTGCCACAGCACATATGTGTACAATGAATCTTCCAACATTATTTTCTGTTGGGAGGCCCTTCAGCTCCCTGGAGCTGTCGGACTAATATGAGATATATTGGTCTAGGTCATTAGTCAATGGAGTTCAGCCTACTGGGGACCACGAGCCAGAGCCTGGCCCCCTCAGAGAGGCACAGAGAACAATGGCCGCTGGAACACCCCCCCCCCCTTCACAGTAGCATCTCTAAGGAATACCTGATCAACCAGGCTGTGATTCATATGTCAGGCTGCGGGTAGCCACATCCAAAAGCCTGGTTGACCAGACAACGAACTAGGAAGCCTAGTCAGAGACTCGACCATGGGAACGATGATCCTCAGAATCACCACAAAGGTAGACTTTCCACTGTGCTTGGGAAGTGATCAAGTTTATATATTATAAAATAAAACTGGTCTGTCACAGCAGATCAATGAAGTATCTTTTCTTAGGAGATTTGGGAAAAAATACCTTATGAATAATTTTGTTTTATTATTCATATTATTATTATCGTCACTACTATTTCTACTGTTGGGATTATTTGTATTATTATTTGGTCTTACTATTTCGAACATAATGATTGATAAATAAATAAAATTATTATTTGCTTATTATATATCATTAAAAATAATTTCTAAAATTTACATTAATATTTAGTATATACCGGTAATTATTTATATTTATCATATTCTGTATCAATATTTATCATAACAATAATACTTATTATTGTAATTGTATTCTAAGATATTAGCTTATTACATCATTATCAATATTTATGAATAAAAGACATGCAGGGGGGGGGGGGATGGGAGTGATGTCCGATAATGCAGTGTGGGAGGGAGAGAACTGAGGGGTAGAGGGTGATACTGTAGTTAGGTAGTGAGGCTAGGGAGGATAGAAATGAAGAAGGAATGCGTGGAGGGAATAATTCTAGGAAGCAAGGGCTGGAATAGGCATGTCCTATATAGTATATGGATGGTTACTAGAAGAACAAATGGGAGTTGGGAAGAGAAGAAGTGGATGTAGCAAAGGAGAAGAAAAGGTTAAGAAGTGGAGAGGTAGGAGGAGGAGAAGGAGACATGACAAAGGGCATGATGATGATGAAGTATGAAGTAGGGCCAATAGGTCGGAAGAATGAAGGGGTTCACCTAACACAGCGCAGCTCCTCTACCTGAGGCTACCTGGCATGGCGGACCGGAGGCAGCGGGTGGGGGCCTCCTCTTCCTGCTGTGACTACTGCAGCAGCTGCCGCTGCCACTTGCTGCTGCTGCTGCTGCTGCTGCTGCTGCTGTTGCTGCTGCGCTGTCAACTGCTGTGGGTGAAGCTGTGGCGGAAGTTGCTGTTGCTGTTGGTAGTGGTGGCGGTGTTGCACGGGGGACGAGGCGTCATTACTTTCTGTGCTAGAGTCTCTTCCTCCTCCGGGGGTTTCAACTAGGGCGAGAATGGAATGCAAGATATGAAGCTGAGAATGCGAGCAAGCGAGTCAGTAAATTAACAATGGGTGAGTTTTAATAAAATAAATCCCATTGAATACTAAATTCGTGCATATCCCATCACCGTCTGAAAGTAGGCAATATTAACATGAATGTAAATATTGCCAGTAATAATACAAATTTTGTTATTAATTTTGTATGGATACCATCCCAAGTTGGAATGACAAAACATGACTGCAGATTAACTGATAATGTTTAGGCTTGCAAGAAAGAACTCTTTCATTGACATCTTGATATATATCTAGAAACTAATATTCTTAAACAGAGATAATATGTAGTTTTCAGAGCATGACGCTTTCCTTTTGAGAACTGCTTAACTTTGCAATATACAAAATATTAGTGGAGAGCATATGTGCTTCTATGAATCTGTTGTGCAACAGATCATCACAGACAAACATGGAAGACGTGCAGTTGAACCCACAAACGCACACTACTTTCACTTTATAAGTGTTACATGGAAAAGTTCTTGAAAAATAGTATATCTTAGAACACATTCAACAAGTTATGGGAATTTTGAAACACGTGGCTTACTAAAAAGAAGGCACTGAAGAGCCAGCTGAAAAAATGGAAAACTTAGATAGTACTCTGAAACAGTCTGATTACAGTCTCCGTGGTGTAGTGGTAAGACACTCGCCTGGCGTTCCGCGAGCGCTTTGTCATGGGTTCTTATCCTGGCCGGGGAGGATTTACTGGGCGCAAATCCTTAATTGTAGCCTCTGTTTAACTCAACAGTAAAATGTGTACTTGTAACAACAAGTTGTTGTTACAAGTTGTAACAACAACTTGTTGAATTGGTTGTAACAACAATTCTTCGCGGCGGGGATCGTATTCCAGGGACCTGCCCGAAACGCTACGCGTACTAGTCGTACTAGCAGCTGTACAAGAATGTAACAACTCTTGTATATATCTAAAAAAAAAAACCAGTTGAGGCCAACGTTTAGAGTGGTCCAAGACGACATGGTAATAGTGGAGTGCATACTTGGCTTAAGAGTTGTACTTTGTGGTTACTGGAATGGGCACATTTTATCAGTTAAAAGAATTATTCCATACGATTTTTTGTTGGCATTAGATATACAGTACTCATTACTGGTAAAAGTCTAAATCTAAGGGTATTTAAGCGTGTCAAGAATACTATCCCTGGGATTTATAAAGATTAGCCCAGTGCATGGATGTCTTGAGCCATTTTTCGTGAATGGTTTTTAAGTCATTTTGCACCTTAGGTGAAAAACCAGTTTAGCAGCATTGGCTTGCCAGAGAACAACAAAGTTGTTCGTTTATGTTTGCTGGTGAAAGTTGCTCTTTCTTTATAACGAACTAAAAAAAGTCCACTTATGGATGTCAACCAACAAACTAACACTTAACATAGTAAAGACCTACTACATCCTATTTGGAAGCAAATCTACAAATGCAATTCAACTTCAGATTGACAATGTAAACATTAGCAATAAAAATGATGGAAAGTTTCTTGGCATATTCCTAGACAAGAGACTCAACTTCAGTACCCACATACAACACATAACTAAGAAAGTCTCTAAAACAGTTGGTATACTCTCCAAAATCAGATATTATGTTCCTAACTCTGCTCTCATCTCTCTATATTATGCACTAATCTATCCCTATCTCAACTATGGTATCTGTGCATGGGGTTCAACTACTGCAAACCACCTCAAGTCCATCATCACCCAGCAAAAATCTGCTATCAGAATAATATCAAATTCTGCTTTCAGACAACACACAGCCCCCTTGTTTAACTCCCTAAACATGCTAAACATAATCTCACTCCACAAATTCTCTTGTGTCAACTACATTTACAAAACCCTGTTCTTAAATGCAAATCCTTGTCTGAAACTCTTCTTGGACAGATGTAATAGGACCCATTATCACCACACCAGAAATAAATATCTCTTTGATATCCCCAGAGTTAAACTTAATCTGTGTAAACACTCTATGCAAATAAAGGGACCCAGTTTATGGAACTCACTCCCTACTGAATTGAAAAGCTGTCCAACTTTTACATCATTCAAAATCAATACTAAAAAGTACCTAATTTCATCTTCATAGTTTTTCACTTTTTGCCTTAAAATTGCACTGTATCAATTGCTACCCAATCTCCCAACCTTTATGTTCCCAATTTGTACATCTTTACCATTGTGATCATTGCTGTTTTCTTATATGTGCTGCCAATCTGTTGTATGGTGTTTATAAATCTTGTTTATCTGTATCTTTTGCTACCCAGTCTCCCAATCTTTATGTACCCAATCTGAACATCTTTACCATTGTGATCATTGCTGTCTTATATGTGCTGTCAATCTGCTGTATGTTGTCTATTAACCTTGTTTAAATTACTAATCAAGCTGTCAATGTAATCAATCAGAGCTTTAATATAACAATATGCTTTAATATACCTACTTATCTCTCTCATCTCATTTTTCTCTTGTAATGTATCTTTATCATTTATCAATTCTGATTGAAATTACCTGCTTAAAATTATCTGCTAGATTAAGGACCTGCCCGAAACGCTGTGCGTACTAGTGGCTTTACAAGAATGTAAATACTGTACTATCCAATGTATTCTCACAAACCCAATGTACCTTCTTGTATATATATAAATAAAAATAAATAAATAAATAAATAACAGTGCAACACATTCACATTAAGGCGAGCTAGTTAAGGACACTATGTTTGGTGCATTTTTGCCACCAAACAACTTCCTTGATCCAACCCATAGATCAAGGAGTAAATTTGAATGTCAGCCTACACTTCAGATTTAAATTTGCCAAACAACTCCATGCAAAGAAAGGTGTTGTCAAAGACTTCATGAAAATGTTTACTTTAAGGTCAGCTGTGTGGTGTATTGCACATGCAGGGAAACGATCAGTCATCCTTAAAGCATGCATGGAACAAACTTTGGCCTGCAGCTGGTGTGCTTCCCAATGATGACGACACTGTTGCAGATTTTGAAGGATTTGGTGCAAAAAAAAAAGTAAATGAGCAGAAGTAAATCACGACAAGAACGCCTTGCTTATGTTAAGGGAATAAATGCACAGTCGTGACAACTGAGAAATTAACTTTGTATGTTTCTGTGAATAATACAATTTCTCCCACCCTACCCATCAACATTGGTGTTCCTCAGGGCAGCATACTTGGCCCTCTCCTCTTTCTCATCTACATTAATGACCTTCCAACTGCCTCCCAACACCTCAAACCAATTCTATTTGCTGACGACACAACCTTCATTTACTCCAGTCCTGACCCCCTTGCTCTAAATGCCACAGTAAATACTGAGCTAGAGAAAGTCCATCTTTGGCTAACTGCCAACAAACTCACCCTTAACATTGACAAAACGTTTTATATTCTGTTTGGCAATAAATCCTCTAATCAGATAAATCTCAAAATAAACAATACCCAAATTTGTAACAAATTAGATGGCAAATTCCTTGGCGTTCTCATCGACCACAAGCTGAATTTCCAGGGACACATTCTAAATATATCAAAAAAAGTTTCAAAAACTGTTGGCATTCTTTCTAAGATCAGATATTATGTACCCCGCCCTGCCCTGGTGACTCTCTATTACTCCCTCATCTATCCATACCTCAACTATGGTATTTGTGCTTGGGGTTCTACTACCCAAAATCATTTACGTCCTCTAATTACCCAACACAAAGCTGCTATTAGGACAATATCCAACTCTGGCCCCAGACATCACTCGGTACCCTTACTCAAATCTCTGAATATGTTAGATATTAAGTCACTGCACATTCTCTCTTGTGTATTATACATATATAAAACGCTGAACTGTAATGCCAATCCTGACCTCAAAAGCTTCATTGAAGGTTGTAACAGAACCCATGAGCACCACACCAGGAATAAATACAGTTTTGATATTCCTAGAGTACGACTTAATCAAACTAGAAATGCTCTACAAATCAAGGGACCCAGAATGTGGAATGACCTTCCCAACCATGTTAAACACTGTACCTCTCTCAACCAGTTTAAGATAAAAACTAAACACTACCTAATAAATTCCCTGTAACCTACCTCACTCCTCTATTGTCAACCCATGTCTGTTATTTTTTTAATCAACACTGTTTGTCAACCTATTGTATTTGTGCTGCTTTTTCAGTCATGTTCCCCCTTTTTTTATCTTTATTTGTATTTGTTCTCAATACTTTTTATTCTTTATGCTCAATTAGTATTAAGTTCTAGATATTAATGTTTTTCTTGCCCGAAACGCATTGCGTAATAGTGGCTTTAGGCATTGTATGTACTAGCTCTATCTAAATATCAATCCATTAATGTAACATCACTTGTATGTATGTACCTTACCTGAATAAACATATTTATTTATTTATTTTTTTATTTATAACTGATCACAGTCAATCTTGTGGAATTAGTAGATGCATGGATTGTGATCGAGATGTTCCAACTACACCAAGCATAGCTGATGATATCACTAATTTGGTGACAAAATTGAGACGAATTTACAGGATTAAGAAGATTCATCAGAGGAGGAAGACAGAAGAAGCAAACATGACAGGTAAAGAACTTTTAACTAATTTTAAAGTTCATGGAGAGCAGAACTGATGTCACTCCTCAGGGTCTGATGTCACTTTACAGATTTTACAGTTTTTTTTTTAAGAAAATGAAGAGATGGCTTGAAGCAATTAACACTCAAGAGAGACTTTTTGAGAGGGGCTTCCAAGAGAGCTCAAACTGAAGCGTCTTGTGTTCCTCCTCCTCCATGTAACTCTGGACCCTCAACATTGACCTCTACCCTCAGTTCCCACCACCACAGTTGAGGGCCCACAGTTCCCACCACCACAGTTGAGGGTCCACAGTTCCCACCACCACAGTTGAGGGTCCACAGTTCCCACCACCACAGTTGAGGGCCCACAGTTCCCACCACCACAGTTGAGGGCCCACAGTTCCCACCACCAC